AAGTCTCCTAAATGTGCTCTTAATAGCACGAGGAACTTAAGTTTCCTAAAATGGTTTTTAATGGCTATACTAATTAAACCTTTTCCATTTAACATATCAGATATTTGGATGAGGCCATTAAAAGGCCTCAGTAAAATACCAAACATAAAAGAGTTGGTCTAGTTCTATTAATAGAGCTTTATTTACTTTCCAATTTTATTTATATCTGAATACTTCGGTAGCGAGATGGCTCAACCGAATATAGGTTTCTAGGGACTATTAACGTTACCTAGTTGATCCTCTGATAAGCCAACCAGATCTGCCAGTCTGATGAAGGCTAAGTCGGTAATTCTTGATAGTGGCAAGTTATTGGTTAAGACAATAACTAAAGACGTCAAGAGTATTTTTATATATATATGTAAAAAAAATTCTTCTAAAGATAGGATTTTATGAGTCTATCGGATTCGCCCCAGAATAGAGCGACAACGAAACACTAAATAAAATCCCTTCGGCGGAAACAGTACGGAGAGGATTATATATAGGCAATGTCTCAGCCTCACAATCCCTCAGAGTATTGCTGTTTTCACGAGGCAAACATAACTTTATTAAACGTCTCATTTCGTTTATTTATATCGATATTTACACGATAGATAGAATTTACCTCCGCGTTTATTTTTTCTAAGGCATTACTATCGCCTATATTAGACTGAATCTTACAACGGTTGAGTTTTCAATTTACACTTGGTGTTTATTATTATTATTTTTTATTTTCTTTAAATAGATTTCGATCTATTTGTTGTAGCCGGGAGCTTCTGTGTTTGGACAATAGTTTTAAAGCAAGGTTGTAACCAATTGATGTCGTACCAATGTTAGTTGTTGGCATCTGAGATGTATTTAGACTAGAGTAGTGAGTGTTAGAAACGAAATCATATAGACAAGTGTCTCAGTCTATTTTTTAATTATCTTTTAGCTCACTACCAAGGCCTGACGCCAACATTGAATATTTCTTCAAAATTGGCGTACTTACTTATGCTTTCCGTAAAGTACTCTTCAGTCAGCCTGGTTAGACCGGCTTAACATTTTTTTAAAGTTTTTAACTGATATGCAACCGGGGTGCCTCTGCATACCAGAACTAGGCTTCACACACTCGGCCAGTATTTCTTAAGACATTCCCAATTATAACTACTGGCTCAATCGCCTCAGGACCAATCAAATTAGTGAAGAGGATACTCACATGCGAACCCCAGTTGTCCAGACTACGTGTCTGCAGAAATGAAGGGAGCTTCTGGCTATACATGTTGTAAAGAGAGGACAGTGCGGAGGTTGCGGACATCTCAGCGGTTGCATATTCGCCGAGAGCCTGCGGATGTGTGCAGTAGAGACAAAAGTAGGCTTGTATTAGCAACAGTTTGACTGCAGGCATCTAATTTACAAACTGCAATATAAACAATATTAGGTACAGGGGTTCAAAAATGACAAACCGGCACTACCTTAAAGAACATCTCCTTGCCCATTCGTGTGAACAAGGCCAGAGTGTGCATCCATTGTTTGAGCATCTTCGTCATATTACTGACAACAATCTCGGGGATGTGGGAAGAACCCGAAGCTTTGTTATTCAAATTTGGGCTTATATATTTATATTGTATTAGGCTGATCAGTTGTTGAAATGATAAGAGTTGATCTAGGATCCACAGAATGCATCTCTATTTATCTTGGTCTGTCATTTTGGTCGACCGTATGAGACAAAACCTTGACAACCATTCCGGCAAATCCTAACAAATCCTAATTACTACGATATTTTGATAGATAAGGATATCTGTAAACATATTTGTGAGGCACGAATAAATAATAATCTTTAGTCATTTTTTTCATCCGCTGTAAGTTTGACCTTCCTTTTCCAACATCGGCGTGATAGGAGTTGTAATCGCAGTGTGCACAGATATGTCCACTCAAGAACGAATCGTGGTATGTGTTCACAATCGGTTTATAAATAATCTTTCCTCTAGATTAGTTATATTGAGGGTTGACGTACGAACAAGATATACAGATGAACACATCACAGAATATAAGATACCGGAACCAACACTCCGGGCACATATTATAACCGGTCAGCAAGAATAAAACACCAACAGCGAAGAAACAGCAATCCCATCAACAGAAACCATCCTGACAGATTCAAAGGAAGTTATGTAACAGAGGGGCGGTAAGCCTTACTCTATTGTTGGTTTGAGTACAAATCGGGGTGTTGTGTAATGGGTGAATTGATACACAGTGTGAATTGGTTGCGAGTATAAGAACTAAGTAGAAATGCCTAGATAGTCGTTACTTGTGAATAGGTAGGGTAATGGAACCGTGTGTAGCGGATCTAGGGGTGAATGAATACACAAGTACAGAGAGCAGTACGCACAGTTATCGAGGGGTTATTATCCACGACATGGCTAAGTACTTTCACAAATAACGAGTCATGCGACAAAAAAAATAAGAACACGATAGTATTATAGAGGTTTACACATAGACGCATCGAATGACATCATATGAACTAATGACCATGGAATACTTTCATGCCAATTACCAGCGAACATGCGCAATGATAGGAATACGTAAATATTATAGAGAAACACACTAGGGGGTGCTGTGAGCCATAGCACAATATACTTTACGAAAAACACATATACGAGGAGTGCAAGATCAAAATCGAATTAGCGTCGTATTAGAAGATGGTCTTCAAACGAACAAAGAAGGAGCAAATCAGGAATACTAGATAGTTTATAAAGAGAACAGTACTTTATTTCTCAGTTTAGTTCACGTGTAAAACAAGGGCAAGTGTCTGGTAGACATTATAGGCACCGATAGCACGATGGCGGTTGAATTGGGCATGGAATTCCAACATGTTTGATAACGGAGGGTTCTCAAAAACAATTGAACCAGAGACCTTCGGTTGCCGATCGATAGGTTTTACCAGGGAAACAATCTATAGTGGAATTTAAAATTTATATCTGATGAGTACCTTGTGTGAGTATATAAAGGAATTGATCAGTCGTCAGTGTCGTGACACCAGGGAGGAGGAATATAACTACCTCCACAGTGTGAACAATAGCAATTAAGATTTCCACAGTGTCAATAATAGTAGTTAATTGTGTGAGTGTGTGCAAACGAGTCCTAAATCAAATAGGAGTTGCACACAAAGCGAGGTGTAGCTTCACGCACGCAGTAGGAGGAGGGTCCCAGTGGGGACGAAGCGACTCATTAGAGAAAGCGGCAGAAGGAAAGCGAAATGTGAGAGCACAGGGAGTAGAGAAGAACAAGACAGAAGACAGTAGGTTACGTGCAATATACTCTGGAGTGACTCACAATTGAAGCAACAAGATTTAGCACATGTGGAGTGGAGACAA